TACTGCTGAAAACATCAGTAAAGATTATGAGATTTCTGTTTTTCAATTGATTTCTATTTGAGGATATTCTTAGCATAGGAGTGTCCGTTTTTCACTTATAGAGTATAATTTATTTTCTTAATACAATTCCACTTCTTGAATTTAAAATAATCCCTAAAGCTAGAACAGTAGAGTCCTGTTTTAACGCTGGCTTTGGAAGCAATTTCTCCATAACCTTACATAACTACAGTTAATGCATCTTTCTCATCCATTAAATAAATCTAGCATATTTCACCTCCTTTGCTTTAAAATGTTTCTCCGCTGCCAGGTATTTAGTGGAGCACCTTCCTGTGTGTCTCTGTTGCAGCATGTGACATCTTCTGAAGGTTGATACATTCTTATAATCACAGCATCAGGACCATTTATAATGGCAGCTGTCTTGTTTATACGTTTGGTTTGGTTTTACAGCGTTGTGTCCTTTAAGAGCATCCCTGCTATGAGGTCATGGGAATATTTCAGCATCCTTCAGTGTTGCCATGGTAGAAAAGATTGAATTTGTCCATGTATACAACAACCTACACATCTTGTGTTTTTACCGTTTCCCATTGAATTCATCAGCAAAAAAATGTGTATATTATTTTACATATTTGCAAGAATTCATTGTCTAAAAATCTATCTGTCTGAACAGAGAATAAGTTTACACTACAAGATTAATTAGGAAAGGTCAATTAGTTTGCATTAATTAAAAATATGATTCATACTCTCAGGTAGTTTGATAAGATTTTTCTTTTATCCATTTAAAAACATATTGAAAGTACTTCTGGGGGAAAAAATGCATACAGATTCCTGGATGGATGGATGAATGAATTCTTAAAAGAAATAAAAATCTTAACCTTAAAGCATTGATCCCATAAAAGTGTTTACTGTCGTAGCTGTGTGCTGCCATGTGTTGCGTGGTTTTTGTTAACTAGGTATAGGAAGAATGGCCTGAAAGCATCTTTGTAGATTGCTACTTTTCCTGCCATTATCATTATCCATGATTAGTCATTTTCATGAATTCTTCAGCTATAATAACTAAAAGAAAAATTGATATTGAGTGAGTGTGGTGTGAAGACATTCTGGAAGCATAATGAAAACATCTTTAAGGGAATAAATTTGAGGGGGGGAATTACCAAAAATTATACTCATTACTCAATAATTTACAAGGCTAAGGTGATGACTATTTAAACCCTGAATATGATGCCTGTATTGGCAGTGTGTTTATTGTAAACACAAGGTGCTTGGTTTTAAAATACAGATATAACAGCCCAGCCAGGCTTTCTCATTTTGGTAACTATATATAGAACTATATGAGTTTGTCATTTTAAAATTTCAAAATGATCTTCAATAGTTTATGCCTTAACTATATCAGTTCATGAGACTGGAGGAAAAATTAAGGTGACAAAAGTGTGGTCGTAATTACAAATTAAAGATAATTTTAGAAGAGAAGTAGTTAACCAGGTGAGGTTAAACAAGATAAAATGATTTAGGCCCATTTTATAAAATCATGACCGTCTTCATTTTAAGCTACAATGTAAAGTGCTTTATTCTGAGATTAGGCATTGTGGCAGAAGCTAAAACTGCCTTTTTTCTAACCGTGCCAGAATACAGCCTCCTTTTCTTTTTGCACTAACAAGACTGCTCTACCGCCACGGCCCACTCTAAGTAATTAAATCAATCCTTTGTACTTACCGTATTCTCCTCTAGTGACGGTACTAGATCTGATTATATGCTTCATGCATATTCAAAGTACCGCTCTGACAGCTCTTTAATGAGCTCTTACTTAATCAGTATGAACAATGTTCATCTTGTTCTTTTTTTTCCCTCATGCATTAGAGCTAGGAACAGTTGGGAAAAATGAAACATCTAGCATTCATTTGAAAAATATATTGTACTTTGAAAAGTGTCTAAGCTGAGGAAGTTGCATTCTGCCCTTTAAAAGTCTGATGGACAAATTGGATTACTAGTATTGGATTAAATAACAAATGGTTAGAGGAGAAATGAGAAAAGCTCACTGTGATCACAGGCTTTAATATTTTTTGTTACTTATAAAGCTAAAGGGGTCTTTAACCAGTTATTAAAGTCAGGATTAATTTGCAATGGTTCAACTTACTGGCTTTAAAAGCTTTTTAAATTTAAAAAATCATAAATTCCTAAAACAATAGTGTAATGATGTATTAGGAGAAAATGTAATTTTTTTATTACTAGGCTAAATATAGATTTCCATCATGGTGTATTACTACTATCTCAGATAAGGATTTAGAGAAACAGAATTGATTTATTTTTGAATAATTTTTTTCAGCTAATTTAAACAATGGATGTATATCATTGTGGGCCCTGAATAATGTCTCTCTTAATATTCCTTATGGTTGGGCTAATTTATCTTCTTGAAACATAAAACAATTGTATTATTAGTAATATCCTAACAATTAGAGGAGGGAGATCTTTTTTCTTACCTAGAAATCATAGGCATGAGTTCAACAGAAAACAACACAGCACCACATCAACATTGTTATTCTCAAGGAAGTAGTCTTTCATTGAAGAAAATGATGCTAATTTAAGAATAGGCTGGTTGTTTCTGGTGTTGCCTGAAAGCCTCAATTATAGGTTAAGTTAAACTCAAAACAAAGTTTTAATATGTTGATAATTTTAGAACCACTTAGGTTATGAGCACAAGAATTATGTCTTTAATCAGAAAGTAAAATACCATAAAATCTATACCTATTAATATTGCACACATGTGTCATTTCACTGATCAAAAAGGCCTTCACCAGGGTACAATTGGCCTTTTTCCAAATTGCAAGCTTTTTCTCAGCTTTTTCTTTTTACTCTTTCTTCTTTTGTTGCTACCCAGGGATTTGTGCCTATCGCAGCCTATATCACATGACCAGTGTCAAGACATCACATGGTCCAAAGTGAATACAGCACCAGCTACCCTAAAAGAGAGATTAAAAATACTGTAAAACAATAAAGACTTTTGTTCAGACTCTAAAAGAATCTCTCTGAAGTCTGCTTCCTACCATGAAGTTTGCACAGCATTTAATGCCAGTGTGCGTCCTCGCTGTTCACCCTTACGATCAACAACAGAGACCCATGTTCAGGGGAGCTCCAAAATGCATGTTTAATCTTTTATGCATAGAACAGCTCTCCATAGTTTGTTTCCATTATAAACAGATAGAGTTAAATAGGTTATGGTGCTCCCAGAATTAAGGCAAGCACAAAAAAGAAGGGAGCAGCTCCTCAGATGGCATGAAACAAGCAAATCGCAGGGTCTAACTTAGGAAAGACCACATTTAAGAAAAAGAAACCTCTGGGTGTCTGGAGTATATGGATAATGGAACTACCTATGTGGAGAAGGAGATACATTTAGAAGGCAGTAGAGGATTGGAGAGGGTGGAGTTGGTGAAAGAGACTATGTAAGTTCTTACTCCATTTTATCTCTGTACTTGTTTGGAGTTTTAAATGGCCTAGTAAACGTTGCTGCTGTTAGTGAAGGACCCGTGGTCATCGTGGGGCCCCAAGTGTGCAGTACAAGTGCTCCAGTGAAATTTCAAGGCTCGGTGACCTTTGGGAAGCAAATTCCCAGACTTTGCTGCCGAGAAACCTCTGGATGGGTTTAAACTGCCAACCTTTTAAATTCTCAGTCCAGCATTCAATCATTTGTACCACCCAAGGGCCTCCCTAAGAAACAAACAAACAAACAACAACAACCCTTGCTTGGAAAAGAAAAGAAAACTTAAAGACTGATAGTCTTAACTGGGATGTGTAATTTCTCATTAGGCATTAGCATTAACCCCGTGAATACTGCATGGAAAGTGAACTGAGAATTAATAAAAAACGCCCTAGCAGAGCAGTTAAACCAAGAATGGGTGAGGAACAAGTTGGGGGAAAACAAGATTTTTCTTGGGGGAGGAAACAATGAAGGAATGAGTACTAATGATAGTGAATTTTAAATGCATTCTGTATGTAGTCAGTAACTTTATAATCTAAAATTTAGATAGACTTCCAGCTCAGGTCATTTGTTCCAATATTTTCAGATGTATTGATCATTATTATACTTGATGCAGTACCTTTTTTTACCAGCAATATATAGAGTTTTTGTTTCTTCCTGTTGTTGTTTAATCTGTTTTTTTGTAGCTCGGTAACTTATAATACATTCCATAATTTGCGAGTGGTTTCTCCTATTAGGGCTGGTTTAGCATGGTATAATCCCAGTGGTTCTCAACCTGTGGGTCGTGACCCCTTCACAGGGGTCATCCAATTCATAACAATAGCAAAATTATAGTTATAAAGTAGCAATGAGAATAATTTTATGGTTGGTGGGTCACCACAACATGAGGAACTGTATTTTTGTGGCTGGGTCGGGGAGGGGGGCCACCACCACATGAAGAATTGTATTAAAGGGTCGCAGCATTAGGAAGGTTGAGAACCACTGGTCTAAACCCTTCCTTTCCTTCTGAGAAGGAAAATAAGAAGAAAAAAAGCAAGTTGTTACAAGTGGAAGCTTTCACACAATCTCTGGACCTTTCTGATCATCCTGCTAGTCTTATAATTCTCATAATGATTTTTAAATGTTTTCCTTGTTTTTTATCGTGACCATATGTCTGTCAGCGCCATGAGCCCCTCATTGAAACATAATAATAAGTCTGCCTCTGGGGAGGATTTAAAAGGTGGAACACTTGTTTACTGTACTTAGTGTTAATATGATCTGTAGGTATGTTAAGGGGCTCTGAAAAATGCATGCTGCATAATCTCAGCGTTGGGAGATTGGCTTATAAGTTTTTAAATGCTGATTTCTTTTTTTCAGGCCTTTGACTTTAATCTTATGTTAGTGTAAACATGTACTATTAGGGCAGCTAGAGTGATATATATATATATATGTCTTTTTTAAGGATTTTTTCATGTTTAAAAATAAACTGTACTACACTGTTATTTGTCTTGGAAATGTCATATAGTAATAGCTAACTCTTCTTGAACAATAGGCAGGAATGCAGAAGAAGAAGAAGCAATGATGCAGGAATGGTTTATGTTAGTTAACAAGAAAAATGCCTTGATAAGAAGAATGAACCAGCTCTCTCTTCTGTAAGTACTTCCCCCTGTGCTTGTGTCCTCCAACATTGATGATTCGTAGGCATTGTGTTATGTACTGTCTTTGGGGCTTTATATTTATTAGGCTTTATTTGTTTTTCTTTCCTTAGAAACTTATGTTTTATATAAAAATCCAACATAGTATACAGTTGATTTTTAGCAGAACTGTAAGAATTTAAAAATGAAGTAATGAGACACAGGAAAAAAAGAATGTTTTCCTTTTGTATTTAAAGAAGTCCAATAAATATAAGAACTTTCCTGCCTGAGAAATATAAAACCACTTTTGCCAAGAAAAGGAAGCTTGGTCTGTATTGAGGGTGAGAAGGGATGAAATACAAAGCTGAAGTTTAGTTAATACTCATTGTAATTTTCAAAAATAGGTAACTCTTCCTAAGGACAAAAGTACATTTGCATTTCTTTCGGTGATGTAACCCTAAGTAGTAGAAGTAAAGATCAGTGACTTAAACAGAAGTGACCTTTTTAGTCTAACAAGAGGATGGTAAAATGGAGCGTAGACCAATTGGAAGCATCCCTCCTCCTCAGCGTTTAGTTCCCGGCAGGACTTCCTGCTCGGCAGTGGGCTCTGGACACACTCTCAGAGTGTGCCACCTAGTGAGGGAAGGAGCAGGCTCGCAGGCTTTGTTTCCGTGAGAAACTCTTTTTGTAACTTCTGCTACTCCTGAACTGGATGAATTAGTAAGAAACCAAAACTTGAGTTTTTACTTGTTTCTATATTAAGTTTGCACTGGTAGTACTTTATGTGTCTTGTAGTCATTTCACACGAAGTTTTAGACAAAAATGTGCTTATTGTAAGTCATGAATAACGTTTCACCCAAAAAGAGCTTCAACCCTGGCACTTAATACAAGAAGTAGTGAAGAATGAAATTTCCTTTCCGCAGATTAAAATACACCTCAGTGCAATTTAGAATCAAAGGAGGAAAATAATAGCACTAGTAAATAGCCTACCTGAGGAAGGTTTGAGGTGTGTGTATCATTTATTCGGAGTAGCTTAAAGTCAAAGAGAAAAGTCAGTTATGAGCCCTCAAATCAATGTAAGCTAAAGGTTCTTATAAGTGTTTAATGATTTAGTAATTAGCATATTGATGAACTTTTGTAACTTGCCTAGGGAAAAAGAGCATGACTTAGAGCGAAGGTACGAGCTGCTAAACCGGGAATTGCGAGCCATGCTAGCCATTGAAGGTAAGACGTGCTCAGGTGGGTGAGGTGTTATTCAAGGTGTCAGTTGTCAAAGAGATTTAAAAGAGTGTCATACACACCTGCTCTGACCAGGTCTTGTCTGACTAGGGACCTACCGGACTTGCAAATAAACGCCTTAATGGCGGACGACAGTTGTCTTATAAATCTGAGGACTCTCCCGCAGATAATCATTATATTGGCTATTAAGAACAAAACTGACTTAAATTTTGGTTCAGTAAGTTTAAATGTTCATAAAAGGAAAATATAAGGAATTAGGAGAGTTAATTATGTTTTTCTTACATGTAATTTAAAGCTGTGTCTACTGGGGAGATTTGAAAAAAGATTTTTCATTTTGATTTTTCAGAGATTCTAAATTTCACCTTAGTGTTTCATTGATGCCAACACTGAAATAAGTCACCAGTCAGAGCACTATAATTCTTATGATGATGACTCCTATTAAGTGACTATTTAGACTAAGATTGACAGAGGAGATAAATGAAATACTTTCCACACTTTTCATAAAGCTTTCAAATGAATTCTGTAGTAATCATAACCATAGTTCCTAGGATAAGTAAGCATCAACAGCATTGATTGCATTTATTTTTCAAGTCTTGGGTGTTTCTTCATGTTGTTCTCCTTACACCTCTTAGTTGAAAATGTCTTATAGTTCAAAGATGTCCGCTTAAAAACTAATCCTTTGGGCTCTATAAAATGAACCTTTTGTCTAATCAATGCAAATTGATTTTCCTATTCTACATTGACCTCTTAACCCATTGATTGTCCATGGTAATTCCGTTCTTCACCTGATAAGGTCCTTGATCCATAATAAGTCAATTCTAATTAGTTTTGAAACTGGAAATTTGGGTTTGTGAGAGAAAGCCAAGTGAAGCCTGGTCCTTAAAAAAATATTTTAATAAACAGTACTGTCAAAGAAAATGGACACTATTGTTTTACATATTTCTGGAAGTTTTATATATAGTTTACTTTTATATCCATAATTTCAGTTAATAACTATAGCTGACAACATTTGTATATCTTCATTTAGCAATCAGATTTACTTTATAAGGTTTCATGTAGCTATTCAGTGGTGACCCAAATATTTCAAAATATATCATTGATAGTGATTGTAGAATATGTCAAAATTGTTTTTAAGAAATTCTGTGACTCTTGTCATTGAAATAAAGTCCATAAGAGTAGTAATGTGATTTTTCTTCTTGGTATAGTTTTGTAGTCATAATGTGGTCTATAAAAGAAATTGAAAAGCTAAACAGTCCATTGAACAAGAGGTACAGCAAATACTCTCCTCATTATACAGTCTATTCTTTATAGACTTGGTATACATTACATTCCACACATAGAATTCTTTAATTTTTTTTAAGCTACCCTCTTATGTGTAATAAATTTTAAAAGGCCCTAAAATACAGCTTGATAAAATACAGCTAGCTTCCAAGGCAGCTAGACACTGGTTCGGTTTTACTTCCAAATACCAATCTTCAAGGAAAAGCCCAGCTATTATATAAAAGATCTCAGGCTCCTGTGCACTCCTAGCCAATTTTAACTCTTCAAACGTTTTCACTTGCCTGATCTCCTTGTTCAAGTAACAGATCACTAGACAGTGGTCTTTTTTTTCCTTTTAAGAAGAAAAGGAGTAAACTATGCTTTTCTTTTAAAAATACCTTTACTACAGTTGTTAGGGTTTTTTTGTTTGTTTTGTTTTGGTTTGGTTCTGTTTTCTTAATAAGTATCATTGTCTCACATGTGACTGCCTTAAATCTCTCGGCCAGTTTCAGTTGTTGGTTGAGGGAAAAAGAGACTCGGGAAAGTGGGCAGCCTGTTGATTGCACATAAATACACTAGAGCTGGCTGTGCTACAGAGGGACGGAGGGACAGACCCTCTGGATGGTCAGCGGTGTGAAGATTGTGTCCTCTGAGCCAGCCCTCTTAGAAGGGGACACACATGCAGTTGAATAGCCTTTGGGGAGTGTTAAGACACCGCTGTAAAACACATGAATAGGCAGCGCTAGTTGTTTTTTGCTTTCCTTTGTTTCAAAGTTCATTCCACTTTTCTTTTCCCATCCTTTCCACTTAGTAACCATACGATGGTTTTAATGATAAAAAACTGAAATCTTCTCATGTGGACATGTTGCTGAAATTACTTATCGGAAGGAAAGTACAGAATTGTAATAGCTATACCACATTGTGACAAATATTAGCAGCTTGGTGTGAGGGCAAAAAAAATTCAATATATCCATTCTTCCGAGAATTCATAATCACCTAGGCCTGTTTTTTTTTTTTAACACACACTCCCCCCTCCCTTTTTTTTTTCTCCTGAGGTGTTTTTCATAGCAGGAGTTTCATTCTACTGAGCTAAGTTGTAGGATCCCTCAAGCTAACAAACATGTCTTGGATACTCTTCCTATAGTTTTTTTGTTCCAGATTATTTAATGCCCCCTCAGGAAAGATAAATTCATTTCTGCACACATTGGGGTGGGCTTTTAGAAAGTGGCATGTTCATTTGCTGCACAAGAAATGGATCTTCTTTAGGATTTTGTACATCTTGATTTATTCTTGGCTTAGTTTGAAGTGGGTGCTCTTTTAAAAGGATTTATGCATAGGTTCACTATTTTTGTAGTTATGGTTTATATGATAAGCTTTTTATATTTAAAATCAATATGTAATCCTGTGGAGGAGCTTATCCCCTAAAACCCCATTTGTAAATCTATTTTAGCTTTGTTACACAGCACAGCCACAGTCTTCCACAGATTGATTAGGTGCAGCAGTAGAATCCTATCAAATGGCCTGCTCTGATGATGATGCAAACTCTTTCAGGATTGCTAGTTGACTGGAACTAAAGATAAGACTCGACTGCAATCCCCCAATGTGCTCTTTACAAAACTAGTGTTAATTTTCATCAAAGTGCCAGGCTTATTTATAGTGGCAAGGTTGAAGGTTTGCTACAAGAACTTTGGGTCTTTTCTATTAAAGTGTTTATAGGTATTTCTCTTGCCCTTTTTCAAAGTAATTATCAACATCAGCAAATAAACTGAATCAGTGAATAAATAATTGGCCCTATATCTAAAAAGGAGATTTTAAAATTAACAAAACAGCTCAGTGCAGATGGACATTAACAGATCTCTTTATTTCAATACATTGGCTCAAATACAGCATCAAAACTTAATCCTATTTGTTGCAAGAGGATATAGATAGCTTTTATAGCAAAAGTACACTAGAATCTTTAAATTAATCAGAGCCCACTTGGTAGTTTGTCCAACCCAAAGCCAGGGTAGCTACTAGCTGTGACTGATATTCAATATAAGTAATCCTGTCTTAAAATGCATACCAGGTAACACATAAACTTAGATGCATCTTTTAAAACATGCCTTACATCTAAATGAAGTTTCTTAACAGAGGTTTTTTTTTTTTAAGATTTAGAAACAGGATTGAACATTGAGTATGAATCTTAATAAAATTTAAAGGTAATAGTGAATTTGTTTATATTTTCAAAAATCAAGTTAATTTATTTTATCAAATTAACACTCAAATACATGTAAATGACATCATTTAGTCCCACTATAAGAATGCTACCTCAAAGACAAAGTCATTTTGTGAGAGTAGAATTCATTTGTGCATAACTATTTCCTGTACAATAGACTTAATAACCCATCACAGATATAAATTAGATAATGACAGAATCTGAAAAATCCTATAAACTGATGCTCGAACATTTTAAATTCTAAGTTCAACTAAATTTGACTCAGATGATGAAAATTTCCCTAGTAGTTTTGGTTTAAATTTTGTGTTACAGTTATGGAAAATACCATTATTGAGCTGGGAAACAGTTAATAAAAGTATGAGTTAAGTTCAAATGTTAATAAAATAAATGAGTTTTTCCTTTCATCCATATTGTTAAACTCCTAGTGGTTTTTTTTTTCAATATTAAAGTCTTATTTGTAATTACTAAAGGCTTAAAAGTGATTGGTCAAGTTCAGTGAAACAATTATTAGGAAATTTTTTGTCTATTGCATTTCATCCATGTTAAATAATACATTTTTTTAGATGCATGGTTAAAATTTATGTTGTATGAAATTATAACTAGGTTACAGTTTTTGAGTGAAAAGTGGAGGGAATTTACTTGAGTAAAATAAAATTAACAAACCTGATCACAATATTTTGAAAATAAAGAATTACAAATCAAAGCTTAAGATCACAATGAGTTCTTGAATTTGGAAATGGAAGGTTTAATAGTAATCAAAACCGATCCTCTTAAACATTATCAAAGTGTAGGTTTGTCTTTATGTACCAGGCCTTCCCTCTGAGTATTTGTAGAACGACAGTTACCCCAAATCAGACCAGATGACCTTTCAGATCCTTCCAGCCTCCGAGCCTATTAATTTATCTGCTGTGTAGAATGAGGCTGATTAAGAACAAGAACCAGATAAGAAAATTTTCCAGCATTCCTGACCTCATTTTCACTTAAATCCAAAGAATAAGTGGAGAAGAAGAGTTTCTCTTCCGTTTGCTTTATTTTTTTCAACTCTAGAAGAAAATAAGCTTTCCGTAGTAATTTCGTTACACGTCTGCATTTGCCTTCTTTTTAAGAATGAAATGGTGGAGTTATTTTGTGTGCTTGTGTTTTGCAGACCACTAATGAACCGCATGTTTTCGTTATGTTTATATGTAGATAATATACTGGAGCTTGTAGAGATAGAATTGAACTCCTTCTAGCCTTTTGCTTGGTTTCGGGATTTGCTGCGGTTCTACCCCTCATTGCATGATGATGCATCTATTTTTTGAATTTGTAAATACAAGATCGAATTCCCTCCAGCACCATTTGCTTTCATAAAGCTGCTGAGCAGTTTGCTGTCTTGAATAAATTCTGCTTTGGAGGGGGTCGGGGGGATTTGAACCAGCGCATTCTTGTGTGGTTTGTGAAGATTCACATGGTAACCAATGGCGAGCATTGTTAGGTTTATCTGAATAAGCACCAGCCAAGTGAGTTTTAACGTGATTGCCCAGGGCAATGGAGGGGGGCGAGAAACCCGAAAGGCCTGCGCTCCCCTCTGGTTTTTTGGAAAGTGCATTTACTGGGGGAGGGGGCGGGAAGGACCCTGCGTGAGTCAGTGGCTCTGAGGGTTGGTTTTTTTGTTTTGTTTTGTTTTGAAGCTGGTGTCCTGTTTCCCTCTAGGTCCTCATTTGTTCTGCTATCTGCTTCATCATCTACTTCTTCTTTTCATTGTTTACCTTCCTAATGAGGGAGGCGGGGTAGACTGGGGGTTGATTGACAGCTACAAGCCCTTACAGTCTGGCCAGAGAGAGCAGTTGCCTTTGGTTTCAAAAGTGCTTTAAATGTTCGATTGGGTCCTGTTTCTGTTCAACGAGGCTGCTGCTCATCTGAAGGAAATGATTAGACCAGCGAAGTTTAGGAGATACATGGCTGGGGCCTAAGACCCTCCGAAAGCGGCCCGTGCCCATAAAAAGAGCCCTCCTCGTCGGGTTTTCCAACTCTGTAGCGTGGGGTTTCAAAAAGAAAAATGTAATTTTCCCTGTGCAAAAGTGCTTTGATTTCAAACCACCCAGCAAACCTCTCCAAAAGAAAACTGGCTGTGATGCGAACGCGATCGAGAGCTGCAGTGTAATATTGCAGAGCAAATTTATTTTTTACTTCAAAGAAAAATGCTAATTAGCCGATTCACTACTTTTAAAGTTATTGTGAAGCATATGGCGCCCAGTGTGAGATACATCCAACTGCTAAAACAGAGCGCTGAGGAAAGGAGTGAAGAATGGGCTGTTTGGGGGAGAGTGGGGGCGGGGAGAAGAGGCGAGGCTCCCCCGGCGCCGGCTCCAGCACCCCCCCTCAGGCCC